GTCTCCTCTAAACAAAAATATTTCGCAAGATAATGATGCTAAAATAAATTACCCCAAAAAAAGTCATTTCAAAGAAAATGGGTTGATATACACACCTGGACCTGGGCCTGCTGCCCTCTGTGAGTCATATCAAAGCAGCACTGTGGGTATATGAGCTAATTCTGTCCTATGAATTAACGATGTGTATACCCTTATTTCTTCTTTCTCCTCCACTTTCTCTCTCCTTCTTCGACGACAAAGTGGAGGAAACAAACGTAAACTGAATACTGCTATTGCCCTAATGGGAAAGTCCTCAGTTGTCTTCCTGGATGAGCCATCTACTGGCATGGACCCAGTAGCCAGGCGCCTGCTCTGGGACACAGTTACATGGATGTGTAAAACTGGCAAAGCTATCATCATCACCTCTCACAGGTATGACCCGTTGGGAGACTTGGTTGATAGAAGAGTATAGGAGGGAATTATACGGAGCCAGGAACATAGGTCAGTGAAGTATGTGAACTACATAAGAGGGACTACAAACAGATGATGATTCTTGGCTTTAGCTCAGTTGAGTTCTGAAATCCAGACTTGGTAGAAGATTGGAAGTTAGAGAACTGTTCCTATTGTGAAGTTAAAAATCAACTGCTTTGAATTTTAAAACCTCCTCTTCCAAAATATGGTCTTAGTGATGATCATCTTAAAATACCAAGCTTTCTACTACAAGTGTTACCTTATAATCCTAGCTCTGTTTTGAAATGCAGAATTTTCCCTCTGAAAGGGAGTCTCTTCAGCCATGTATCCTTTGTGCCCCTAGCATGGAAGAATGTGAGGCGCTTTGTACCAGGCTGGCCATCATGGTAAAGGGGAAGTTCAAGTGCCTAGGCAGCCCTCAGTACCTCAAAAACAAGTTTGGTAACGTATATATTCTGACAGCAAAGATTAAGATTGATGAAAATGAAGATAAACTAGCGGAGTTCAAAGAATTCATTGCAACAACTTTCCCAGGTAAGAGAAGTAGGGTTGGCTTGTGAAAACTGTGTTAAGTCACGTATGTTGTGCTGCTGCATGTAATAATTAACTTTTTGCTGTGAATTACTGATGTTTATTTTCAATTAGGCTCCTTTGGGAATAATTTTTTTCTATGAATTTATTCCTGATTATGCTAAGAAGCTTTCTCAAAATAGCAGAGGCTCTCACCAGTCTCTTGTAGGAACCAACCAGTAAGATAAATGTGTTCAGGTGTATTTATCT